AGAAGCAATGATTCACAGCAAAGTGACAATCTGACTAACAATAACCATACCTAAACAGAGCTACAATTACGTCCAAGTTACGACCTTGTGTTTCCTTCAAAGTGAGTCCCAGAATGCCACCTACACAAGACCACTGAAATTATACACTTCAAAGTTTGGGACGTTCCATACCAGACTGAAAACCTGTAAAAATTTCCATTCTTTGCAGAATACAATTGTTTTTCTTATTACTCTAGTTAACAGCCATAAAGTCTTCTGTATGGGTGTAACATACTTGGCAGGCACAAAAGTCAGACTTCACAAGGACCTTTCGTTTGTTTTCTCTCATTTGCCAAGAAGTTGGAGGTGACTTCCTGAACAGTTTAGGATATTCTAACCTTTACTGGGAGTTTTGCTTTTCAACTTTATAAACCCAACAATGGAAAATACTCTTAAATAAGCCACAGTAAGTATTTTTTCTTTTCATTACTGTTATTAATCACTTCCCTGATGATATACCCTCATATTTGAAAACTCTACCAGTAAGAAAACTTTATTCTTACTACTGTGTTTTGTACAACATTCTAGATGTGGAAATGCAAAACAGGAATATTTTCATAGCTAAACAACAGAGGAAGAAAAGACCCTATAAATCTCCATGTGGCTGCATATACATTTTTCACTTTTCTGATCAGCAAGGAAAAACAAAAAGTTACATTCAGGGCCCTTCAATTTACACTGATGCTTTCATGCTAAACTTTAGTCCCATATATAGTTACTTCAAATTCAGTAGTCTGCAATAACAATTGTAGAAGGAATTTGCATAATTTAAATAGGTACATGGTGCACCTTTAAAAAAACAACCCTCTATTAAAAAAACAAACAAATAAAAACCAGTTCTAATTGTTGAGTAACTTTAAGAACTATCACAATGCTTGAAGATGCTAACTCCTTACATGCAAACGTAACATTGAGTTAATATCACAGTACCTCACAGAGAAGTACCACAGAATATTTCATACCTGTATGAATTCTGATATGCTCTATGAGCCGTGCTGTTCCTTTGCTGGCATAGTTGCAGTACCGACACTTTAACTTCCCATCAAATGTCCTTTCGAACCCATCCACTAACATTCCTGAGTTTTCATCCAGGGAAACTTCAACAGAGGGATGATCCAGACCATTCTGATCACCTTCTGTCCCAGCTGCGAATAATGCAACACAGATTTCAATCAAGAATCAGTGGGATACTATATATCATGCTGTGAGAATATGCCAAATATCTTTTGCTTCTGTATGCCCTTAGTCTTTAAATATACAAAGCTATAAGAACAAACCCTGATTAAAAGAAAGGTATGTACACATCTTTTGAGATGTGAAAGCAGCCCTCAGAAATGCTTCCATACAGTTGTAGTAGTCTGAATAATTATCTGGCACATAAACAGTGCAGTCTTTCTCAAAAAAATAAAGTTTGATAGCACTGAAATTAGCTTACCTCCCTGAAGAGTCTCTGCTTCCTTGTCTCCACTAACTGATCCAGAAATCATATTTACATGGTGAGTCTGCTGTGTAAGATATTCCTGAAAATCCTTTACAAAGTCCAAAGGTTCTGGCTTCTTTTCACCCATATTCACTCTTTACATTTACAACCTCTTGTGCCTAGTTGTGCCTAGAAAGAAAAATATTTTCAAATCACAAGTGTCACTGAATTTGAATGCATTCATAAAAACAAGTTGGTTTTGGGTTGTGGGGTTTTTTTTTTTAAGTGAAGGACTGCATTTATCCTGAAGCATGACTCAATGCACAAACTGACAACCACAAGAATATTTTTAGAATTTTTAACTGATTAAAGATCACTTTTGTTTTCAGCAACAGTAAGATAAGGACAATATCAAATTGGATAAAATGACATGATAAGCAAAGTCACAGTGCCTTTTTTTTTGTTTCCAGTGGATTGTACCTGAATTTTAGTTCCCTGCTAAGTAGCAAACATGCTCCCAAATGTACTTCCAATAGGTCAGACAGAAAGCACAGAGCACAACTTGTCCACTTTCCCTGGAAGGAAAAAAAGGAAATGTAAGTCTATTATTCTTCCCAACCCCCACGAGTTTGAAACAAAGAAAGATGAAAAGATATGTATGTTTTGAAACGCAGGTTGTAACACTCTACTGCTCTCAATTTTATTTAAACAATTACACTTCCAGCAAAAGCTCTTCAAAGACCACGTCTACTCCTTCGTGTATCTCACTGAAAGACACTTATACCTTACTGATCATTTGAGTAGTTTCTCTGGTGAACACATGGCTCCAAAAAATCCCACAGTTGGGTAAGTCAGTTATGACAACAGCAATATTGGGAAACCAACTGAATGTCACTGATTAGCAAAGATGGAAAGAAGCCTTATAGAAAGCAGTATTTCATAGTTCTCACAAAATTTTAGTTTCCTATCCTGCATAAGTCTTAATCCATTTCATTATTTTGCATAGAAATAATAAAAATATTCACTAGAAGTCAGTGGTCATGCTCTTTTCTGGGACTGTAAATGACAAACCTCTAGAGTTATTAATTTGCAATGAATTTGTGAAGACAGAACCTAGGATTCAGTTGGAAAGAGGGCAATGAATCAGTCACATTATTATTCCTGCAGATTACAATCAGAAATGTGCTTTCTGGAAATAATTTATAATGTTACATTTTCAATAAGAATATCTTTCTGTTTGCCAATAGCTACTAAGCAAAACATTAGGTGTCCTACAAAAACTCAAGTCCTGAGTTCAAGACCACATTTAAACACATTCTCCTGTATTTTCAAAGCTATTTACATGTTACTTCATTTTTTGGCATCCAGAGGAGTATGTTCTTTCACATCATGCCTAAGTGTGTTCAACTATTATCATTATTATCACCATTAAGTTAATTTTGAACACGTCTTTACATACCAGTTTTTCCTACCCTCTTTCAGGTGTCACCAACCTCGTGTAGGCTTAAGTTAATTTGTGTTCCATTTGTTGGTGTCTCCTGCAATAAAATGAAGATACCAGGATATGAATTAAAGATATCGAAGAGAAAAACAGGACAAGGTAATACAGAGTCCTGACCAGGCCAACTGTCACCAAATTATAGTAACAAGAAATAACAATTTAAAATTAAACCTTTCTAAATGTTGAATGGCTCAACATGAAACAATGTTAAAGGTTCATGTTTTCACTGAAAAATCTGTGTATACCTTTTTGTAAGGCACAAAAATTATTTCATTGATTATTTTTATAATGACATTTAATTTTTAAAGAAAACTACACAAAATTTTTAAAACCCGTTTGGGGAAAAAACATTATTTTGGGGGTCAACTACATAAAACTTCCTTTCTCTGCCTCATAGATTTAATTTGAAAATATTAATATTTCTTTTTTTTTATGTCAACATAGGTAAATTGCCACAATTTAAACGCTGCCTCAAATCTCTAAATTTGCATACACAAAAGAACCTTTTGTGATTTTATGCAGGTTTTTTTTTTTTTTTAATAGATATACAACCAACAGTTCTCCTGTTCAGGGAAGAACTGTACAGATCAGATGCTTGCTACATGACTACTGCAAACTAGTAAATGCAATTCTAATTATCAGAAACCTGAGCGGACCAACTCGTGTTTCACGCACTCAACCGGGCTGATCACACCAGACGTCCCTCAAGTTCTACTTACACAAAACCTTTTCTGCATAGACAACTACATCTCCTCCAGCTTTCTACGCTGACGGGTACGATACTGGTTATTAATTTTCTACACAGGTGCTACTGTTGGATTTAACATTAGTTACAGTGCTGATGTGTACCAAGTTCATTGGGATGTGCTAGGATGAAGGGCGTTATAAATATTTTACCTAACGAATTCTGCTACAGAAACTAATTTAGACACAGTAAAACCTGTAGTTTAACACACAAAGAACTCATGCTACAGTAATTGTAAGAGAATATAATGACTATGAGAACATGCACGCATCTCGTTTTCTTTTAAGGAAAAAAAATCAAGGAAAAATCAAGGAGGAAAAAAAAAAAAAAAAAGGTGGGGGCATCTCTCTGCCCCAGCCTCATCGTTTCCAGTGCAAATGACTTAAAAATCAGCATAACGAAGGAGGAGGGGGATCCCAAACTCTACCCAAGCCCTTCCTGCTCCTTCTCGAGGAGTTTTGCGCCTGGGAAGGGGAAGAGCAATGGCAGGGCTGGCGGCTGCCGGGCCGAGCCCCGCGACCTGTCATCACCCACCCACGGAAACCCGCC